CTAAATACTGAGCAAAGGGTCTGAATACTTGGGACCATGTGATATTTCAGGTTTTCTTTTTTAATAAATCTGCAAAAAGGTCAACAATTCTGTGTTTTTCTGTCAATATGGGGTGCTGTGTGTACATTAATGAGGAAAAAAAATTAACTTAAATGATTTTAGCAAATGGCTGCAATATAATAAAGAGTGAAAAATTTAAGGGGGTCTGAATACTTTCCGTACCCACTGTATTTCTCTGTTCACGCTCCACTTCATCTGCCAGTGAATTCAACGATCTTATCAGATCTCCAGAATTTCTGGTGAATTTTGCTACCTATATGCTTCCATAAACTATTGCATACTGGCCTAAATCAAATGTAATGCATGATTAGAAACAATAAACATGTTTAGATATGGTTGAATTTTCTTATTTTGTACATATGATCTGATATAATTAAAAATAAAGAGTATGCTCAACTAATAATATACAAAAATGAAATGTAGCTCAATTAGTTTCTTGCAACAAACTTGCCTAAAAAAACAGTACAACCAAGAAGCCATTTTTGTGTTGGCACAGTACATTTAGGTTGTTGATCGAATAAAACAACTATTTTAATGATGATCAGAAGGTTAAATTGTGAGACCTACAAAGACAGAGAGATTGATGAACACATAGAGAGACAGAGAGAGAATGAGAGGAGCCTGTCCCATCTGTTTGAGAGAGCCGTGTTCTGGCTCTGTCTGAGATGCTCATCCTCACAGCCTGTAAGGCATTAACTGCACAGAGCCCTTGACACGCCTCTCAATCTCTTTAATTATTAAGCATTTATCTCAGTATGTCCCTCAGGCGTGCCTTATCGCAGGTGAGGAGGTGCACCGAGCAACCCATGGCATCATGGGAGATTCTGAGCGAGGGCAGATTAGGGAGGAGCACCTGCCAATAGGCTTACTGCAGGATTTGCTCACTGAAGTCTGCAAGGATTTCCTGCAACGCTTCACATGTTCACTGTTTTAAGAGTAAATTCAGGTGTGTGTGCATGCAAGTTTGCTTGAGTTTGCACATACATGCATGCTTTTATGGGAAAGGGCTGCTAAAGAATGACTCACAATCTTTCAGGAAGTTGCACGCCCTTGCTTTATCTTAAGTGGGATGCCTCAAAAATGGTGGCTGACTTGTGTTACGTGCAGATTACAGAAGGCGTTCTGCGGCCTTCCGTCTTAGCCAGGGATTTGTTCGCAGAGCATGGCGCCCCAGTCTAGCATTTTGCGTCAAAAGTTTGTATTAATATGAATATGCAAGCTTGTCTTTGTGGGTGTTTCTCAAAAAAGACTGAGAGGAAAATAAATCATGCATGCTTGTTTTTTTTTACTCTTTCAATTTTGAATGACAAATTAAGTTGAATATCCCCATAAATCTTTACAAACGGATCAATTTCAAACCGAACAAATGCTGTGACCATAAACGGATAAAATCTGGCCATATAAACAATGATTTATGTAGTCAGTAGGGGAGGAATACATTAAGTAAATGCTGGGTCAAGAAAGGTTATAGTTAAATCATATCATTCATATATTTGAATCACTTCTAATACATAATAAAAATAGCAATATAGGTGATGTAGTAGCTTACGCCCAGTAAAGCCCTCAAAGGTTTTATCATTATTGCTATCATCTGTCATTATGTTTAGTCATTCACACTGGGTCACAATGATAGTAATAAGTCCTTTTGTCATAGTGCTGCAAAAACGGGACACGCAAATTGCTTGCTTTTTACATTGTGCTGTCATTAAATGGCCTGCATTGTCATTTAAATGCTAAAATGTTGCTTAAAATAACAATTTATTTGACAGTTTTCTTAAATGCTTGTAAAAATCAATTATAAATGTAATTAGGTACAAGTATCCATTTGTTTCTTTTAAGCTAATTACATTAGGCAAGAATGTAATTAGAGCAAAAGCAAACCCATTTAAAACAGCAGTAAAAGCAGTGCGAATGTTTCTAGCCGTATGGTATTTACTCAGTGCTATGTCCAGGCTGTTATCGAGAACTCCCTTAAGGCATGTCTGTGGTTGAAATGCATTTACAACAGAAGCAATAACGACGGTTTCAGCTAAAGAGAAACACAATACAAATAAACATCGTAATCTAGCTCTAATTCCCCAGCTGCCACTGAGAGCGGAGGGAATCGGAGGGCGATATCTTGACAGTTGTCTTGAAATTAACCGAAACAATTGTAGGGAATGGTTCCTAATTCACTCTTTAAAAAGATACAGGATCATTTGAGACCACAGAAGTTTGTAAAGCTCTCCAACTGATGCCATTTTGAGTCTATTGACTGCTGTATGAAACTTTGAAAGATATTATTTTAGGGGGGAAAGTCAAAGGCAATCAGTGTGAAGGTTTAAAGGAATAGTTCACCCAAAAATGAAAATTGTCATTGACTGAAAAATGAAAACGGTCATTAATTACTAATGTAACTACTTTATTCAACAATTTCTTCTCTTCCATGTCAGTCTTCGACCAGCATTCACAACAGTTCCACGACGTATGCCTGTGCATTCCTTTATTTGCAAACATAATAGTACTCTTGTGAACACGCGTTGAAAACCAACACTGAAGTTGCCAGTTGTGTTGCTGTCTATGCAGGGTCAGAAAGCTCTCGGATTTAATCAAAAATATCTTCATTTGTGTTCCGAAGATGAACAAATTCTTCTTGTCTTGCAGGTTTGGGATGATATGAGGGTGAGTAAATATTGACGGAATTTTCATTTTGGGGTGAACTATCCCTTTAAGTTGATAGTAAGTGAAAACAAATATATTCTATTATATCCTTTTAATAATTTTTTATCCTTGTGAACTTCATAACGCTAACATACATGTTTTAATATGCAGTCAGGTTTGGATTGTAATAGTGTGGTTCTAAAATGAGGACAAAAGTTTGGTGCATTTTTCTGCCATTCAAGATAATTCATGCAACCTTGGGGTGCATCTTAGCAGAAATAAATCAAAATACCAAAAATCTGGGGGCAAATACTTTTTCACAGCACTGGAAGTACTACATACAAACTTTGCCAAAAATTGCTGTTAAAACTCCCAACGTGACATTAACATACATTTCTACACACAAATGGCCTCATTGGATTTTTGACTCCTTTGATGCCATTTGACTATTGTGTTAATAGTGTAACGGTTCATGATGCACAGTTCACACAGACTTCACTTTCAATCATTTTCAACATGGCAAATCTGCATGACCAACTTGAACCCTTTGCGAAATCTACATGCACTCACGTGAAATTCCCTATCACATGGATTCCTTCTGAAATGATGGATTCTGCTCATTAAAATCCACAGAACAACAGTAAATATCTTTAGGCAGAGATTCTAAGATGCTATAGACATTGAATCTTAAGGCATGATTTCTTTATGGTATAAAATGTTAGGCTACACACATTTCTTGACTGTAGTGGAATCTGTAACCTTTCCAGGTTTCCCAGTGGGTTGTTTGTGCAAGTAGTGAATTGAACTAGATTTTGAATCGACTAGCATAACCTGGGTGCTAGTAAAAAAGGTAAGCAATTGTCTCAGGTTAACCATAAAACGTCACATATGCGCTTGCATAGGGTTGGTTGGATTTAAAGACACTCTGGGCTGAACTTTGTTTTATCTGCTCATTCATCATATCAGACCCATTTAGGAAAGCCTGAGAGGGTTGAATGAATCATTACGGAAAGCGCAGTCTGCACCCTCAAAACTGTTCTCAGTTGGGCAGCCATTATCTACAGTGTTCACCCTGATTACAGACCATGTGTGTTCAGTGGACAGCCAAGGCCAAGGACACTAATGCCCGGGTGTGTCTGTACTTGCTCTCCAGTACTTACACTTAAAGTTGCAGCACACAGCGGGAACCCCGAAGGAAACATGGATGGTTTCTTTCAAATGTTGTCAGCCATTCTGGTTCTCCATTTCCACAGGTCACCGGATCCAGGACAAGGACAGGAACCTTTAAGGACCATTGAATCTTAACTACATTCATTCCCCACACCACATATCCAGTGGCTGTGTTCCAAAACCTAGTGAGCATTCTTGCTGTCTAATGCCCACACAGGCAATACTAACTGAAACAGACCCTCATAAAGGATTTACTTAGGATGCTCTACACAACAGCAACTCATCAGTGCATCTCAGCACTTAAGACAAAGTTATAGGAGGTTCAACACTTGATTTGCATGTTGCTATTCATTCTAATTTGGTAATTTGTTCATTCAAATAAAGCTGAAATAAAGATATAACTATTACACGAAAAACTGGCCAATATGTAAACATGTTGAAGTGCTAAAATTAGATGATAGATAGATAGATAATAAAAATCAATATAAAAGCTGAACAGAAGAAAAACAAATAAAATTGACAAAAGCAAACAAAATGACTAAAACTTCAGCTAAAATGATAATATAAAAATAAAAATTAAACCTAATTGTACAAACATATATCATGTATTTTTATTTTATAATAAATGAAAGTGTTTAGCAATATTTTTGATAATGAATGAATTACTGTTAGTACAGTTACAATTAACATTTCCCTTCAGATGTGTTTTTCTTTGGCACTATGGGATTGACTCTCAACACTGTTTAACGTACTGCTAATTTTCTGCCAGGACATTATGCATTAATTGTTATATATTTATTATAATGCAATTAAGTGTAAAAACCCTGTAAAAAAAATAAAAAAAACAATACGGAAAATTCCTTCATAATAATTCAGTACATTTTGCCTTTTTTTACAGTCAAGGATGAATGCAATGCCTTAGAAGTTAGCTAAAAGATGTCCACCCTCTGCTGCCAATCTTTGTTGATACGCAAATCATGAAGCCTAAAAATACTGCCTGTTGACAGCTTGCTAGGTTTTGGAACACAGCCTTTTCTTGTTACTATCATAGACAAGTGATCTGTAACACAAATGTGTGCTATGCTTAAAAAAAGCAGAGTCCAAATAACTTAAACTTTTATATTGGGACACTTTTATTTACAGAAGAAAAATTACACTGGATTACAAGAATTCCACAAGTACAGTTGGGCTTATGGAGTGCTCCCTTTAGATTGCTGAAAAGAAATGGGCAACATTCCACAATGTTCTCTTGCGCTGAATGTGGAGAGCCAGGTGTATATGAAATACAATGCTGAAATAATGCAAAAAACTTTTTTGGGAGAAATTTGTTGGCCCAAACTAAAGTGAACATGAACATGGATCTCGAGACTTAATTCTCAAACTCTGGTAAAATGAGCATGCGTCTAAGCAGTATGCCGTTCCCATCCATGTTATTGCAACACTAAAATCCTGATCACCGGCAGACACCTCATCTCTCATATAACCAAAGCACCTTCTCTCAAAAGATCCCAAAATGGCATAGATTTGATTTCCAAAAAAGCGAACTATATAGCGATACCTCTGAACCCAGTTTCCTGGGCATCTGCCCTTCTTTAGCTCTTGATATCTTTAAGTCAGTTGGACACAATATCTTTTTTGAAAGATAGACAATTTTGATAAAACATAATTCATAATCAGTGATGTGTGACACTAAGACAGAACCTGGAATGAATCCGGTTTGTGAAACATTCCAAAGAAATAACCAGTATATTTACATTGGTGTATTTGAATAGGTATTTATAATGTTTTTCTTATATTCACGTAAAACTTGGCAACCTCTACTTTCTTTACATGTCACTCTCATTCTACACTCCATGCTCGCTAGTACACGCATCCAAACACCCCAAAGACAACACGTCCATGCTCAGATGCACCCACTTACAAACTTTCACACGCTTCTAAAGGGAATGCACTCTTTTTTTGTTTCCGAAATATCTTGACATGAAAGTATGACTCAAGCTATGCTCCTTTGACTCTGATGAAACAATAGCGTTTAAAACGAGGACATATTTTCATCCACAAAAACACTTGTAATCTATGACAAATTCATCATTCAAGCCGAAGAGTTGGGCATGTGTCAGCGCTCAATACCGGGACCACCCATGTACCATGTACTCAGTTTGAGGTCAAATGTGGTTGATCCTCACTTTACTACTGAGCATTCGGTAATTACTTTGCATTTGGGCGAGACATATAGTGGCAAAAAGGCTAGAAAATAAACACGTTACCCAAACAGTGACCCAAAACTACAACACGGACCGCAAAAAGAGGTGGGGGATTTCCACACGTACTGCATTAAAAAGCGATGATTGCACAACCACACTGGAAAAGTGCAACAGCCGGATCCCAAAGAAAGAGGGAATGAGAGAGCAAGAGAAAACATGAAGCTTACGGCGTAAACCCAACCTCTTTAAGTAACAAAGAATCAGACTCAAAGCAATAGCAAAGCCTTGAAAAAACAAAAACAAACCAAAAAAAAAAAGAGGCCCAAAACAAGCAAGAACAAGCACAAATAAACAGGAGCCTGTTTGTTGAGCGGCAACCTCCGAAAAATGTTTCACAAAGCAGTTATCGTGTGGCCTCTTCTGATACCCCGACGACGAGTCTCTAACAAAGGATCTTACAATTGGTTGGCGTGTTCTTGCTTGTATTCTCATTAATTTGCTTGCCGTTGGTCTCCGGGTGGCTCACTTTGCATGTTCTTTTAGAGGATAGCAGGGCCTCCATTACGCTTTACTGTCCTCATGTGTCATGTGTAGGCTATTGTCACCGTGAACTTTGATTTCGATCGTGTCTGGTTTCAGCGTCTCCTTGCCGTTTTCCTCTTTTAGTGGCAGTTTCCTGTGGAAAGAAAAAAAAAAACGGCAGGTGCACAGTGGTCAGTTTGACAGGGTCCACAAAAACACATTTCCAACTAACAACTGGATACTGTGGGTCCCCTGAGGCTAAAATTGAGACTTAGGGTGCTTTTTGCAGACCAGAGTCCATTTATCACCACAGGTCGGTTCGTTTGGTTAGTTTTATTAACTTTTCATGCCTGAAAAGGTGGCTTGGGGTCAGGTTTGTACCCAGCACTGAACTACACAAACAGATTTTGAATGTTTTTGAAAATACTCTCTTATGCTCAAAACATTATATTAAATCAAAAGTTACAGTAAAATATTCTGAAATATTATTAACATTTAAAATTACTGTTTTCTATTTAAATACATATTTTAAAATGTAATTTATTCCTGTGATGGCAAATCTTTATTTTTCATCAGCCATTGCATCAGTCTTCAAGGTCCCATTATCCTTCAGAAATCATTCTAATATGCTGATTTGCTTATTATTATCAATGCTGAAAATGGTTGTTCACTGTGATACATTTTTTTACATTTACATTTGTAACAATGTAAACAATATCTACGGTCACTTTTCAATTTAATGCATCCTAAAAAAATGGGCTATTTGTGTGATCCTCTTGGGCCACATAGTGAGCACTGTGACGCACAGTCGTGTCTGTGCATTATCTCAAAGACCCCTGTGTGGCTCTTCATCACATAGGATTATACTGGAAAGGAACCAGCCTCTGTTCACTGGGATCATTATCACTCTAATAACATTATTAAAGTCTAGGCCGGGGCCTTTGGGTAAGTATAGAGTGCATATCAGATGAACGCAATAGTCTGTATGTTAGAACATCAAAGCCGTGCTGCTTGTTATTGGAGCTGAAGACAATCACAGCCCTTAATCTCTTTGAACTTTTAGCCAAGTAAACCTGACAGGAGTTTTTCCAGCTGGGAAAGACTTAGACTGGCACTGCATAACAACAGATCAGTGATCCTGCAAATCAAAGGACAAAGTCTACAGAGGAAATGTGTCAAGAACCATGAAGACACTAGCCAGGGGCAAAAAACGCATAGTATACTCATCAAGCAATAAACCATAGATTGCATAAGTCAAAGGAGTGATTCATAATCAACAAACTGATAAGACTGCATACTAAGTACTTCTTTGACGCACATGCAGAAATAAATACTGATTAACTGCTACTGTACAACTGTTGCTCTATCACACCTGTCTCTTTCTGGCTAACTTGAGGACTTTGTACTGCAGCAAGTCTTGCTGGCAACTGATGACAATCTGTTATAGCCAGTGTAAGGTTTACAGGTAACGTTACTTTTACGTTTACTTAAGTTATGCACTTCAATGTGGTACTCATAACAAAAATTAATGATGTTACATTATTACTTTCTATGGAAAGTAGCATAGTAGGGGGAAAGTAGGGGGAAAGTAGGGGCCTAATGGTTAGAGAGTCGGACTCATAACCCAAAGGTTGCGGGTTCGAGTCTCGTACCGGCAGGGATTGTAGGTGGGGGGAGTGAATGTACAGCGCTCTCTCCCACCTTCAATACCACGACTGAGGTGCCCTTGAGCAAGGCACCGAACCCCCAACTGCTCCGGGTGTGTGTTCACGGTGTGTGTTCACTGCTGTGTGTGTGCACTTTGGATGGGTTAACTGCAGAGCACTAATTCCAAGTATGGGTCACTATACTTGGCCACATGTCACGTCACTTTCATGTTATTTTTTCTAACTGATATCTGATTGAAGTTGTCATTTGAGGAAGTTTTACAAGAAAATACCATTTCAGTTTTTCTACTTCAAAACGTTACATTCAACTTAATGTCACTTGCTGTTTTTGCAATTTTTTTGTGGAAATTATTTCACCCATTATTTTTTTTCAGTGTTGCTTGAAAATGATTGCCAGCTTTTTTGTTTTTTTTTACTTTTAAATATTAATTTTTCTTAAATATGCTATGGCATATAGGCTGTAAATAAGAATTTCTATACATGTATTTACATGGGAATTAAAGTCACAGAAAACAGTGTATCATGTACCTGTACGTTTGACATTTTTGTCATTTCTAAGAAAAAAAAAATTCAACTGAATTTGTCATTAAATAAAATAACTTAATTAAAAAGGTAATTCAATAAGTAATATCTTGTTGCTTGTAAAAGTATTTTGCTTTATTTTTTAAATCTCTTGAAATAGCGTCAAATTTTCATATGACGAAAATAGTGTATGTTAAATAAATGCATAACTGATGCAGAAGGGATACTCACAGGTAGGCAGCTTTGCCCTCCTCTAGCTCTTTGCTCTTGCCGCCTGTGGCTGTCTTTTTGCTGCAGAGCTTGCGGGTGATGCACATGAGCATGCCGCACTGGCGCAGGAAGAAGCAGCTGACGTCCACTAGCACGAGCAGCAGCAGCAGGCCAGCTAACCCCAGCCCAACCACTGCGCCCAGGCCTAGGCCGCTGAACAGCGAATCTGCTGAGACAGGATGCAAACATAACCATCAATGATGCGCCTCAACAACACAATACTCTATCTGCAGTTATTTTCAAATTTCAGAGATAAAATCCAGAGTTAAATTGTGTAAAAAATAAAATAAAATAGTCATTGCCAAAAGCAATTGCTGGAACTGGGAAGGGATGTAAATGTCAATTAAAACATTCATTAAACATAATATAACAACAATCTTCTACCAACAATACACTAAATGTAGGCACCTCATGTAATTTAAGTTTGCATTGAGTTTATCTTTAAGGTGATGCAACTTTGGTGACATTTTTAAACTCTAAAGACTTTGCATGAGAAAATGAGGCTGCCTGAGAATCTATTCAGAAGAAAACATCCATTTTGAAGGAACTTTCTGGGCAACGCTGCTGCTCTAAACACATCAATCACACATGCTGTTGAAAGTAGCATTGCCATTAGCAAAAGCATCCCAGAAGTCTGTGGTTTGATCTGGACACAGTGACAGGGCATCAGAGTGAGAAAAGTGACACATGTTAGATGGGAGGAAGACAGGCATACTAAACAGAAGAGAAAACTGAGCAATTCAGTAGCTGTCTGGTTTTATTCAAAGCAAAAATATTTTTCAATATCAATGAATCAACCGAAAGACAAATTTATATCAACAAAACTACTTTTTTATGGGTTAAAACAGGTAGAAATAGTTATTTAAGGCATCAATTGCAGGTTTCCACTTTTGCAGTGTAAAATAACAACTGTAAAAACCACTAAACTAAAACTAATAAATAAAAATATACATAAAACACCAAAACTAATAAAAATGACACAACAAAATCACTAAAACTTTAACAAAGTTTAAAGTGAAAACTAATTTTAATTGAAAATATTAACAAAAACTATAACAGTGTGTTGCTTAAATGACACCTCAAACAGGAATGTGCATTTCAAATTCTTTGAACAACATCAACATTACAGAAGGAACTGTGTTTATAATTGTCCTCATTTAAACCTATATGATTATGACCTCAAAACTTCAGATTAGGAAGATCGTTTGTCCATCACGATCTTTCGACTATTTTCAGATGTCTCCATGCAACAGCATATCAGTTCATACATGAACAAGCTGCTCTCAAAGACCTCAGATTTATTGACCCTGGTATGGTTTTACTTTTGATGCATGACTTATCAGCCAACGCATCTGTTTTTCACCATCTTGAGCCTTGCCCTCCCTGAGAAATGTGTCCCCGCTCCTATAGCTGATTTGTTGTTGATTTATAACATCATTAGAAGCTCAATTTAGCATCTCGTTAATATCACTTATCCTGAAGTTCCACAAATGGGCGTGATCCATCCGCATCGGAGTTCAACGCACTCAATTAATTAAGTACGAACGGTGATTGAGACTCAGCAATGAGAAGCAATAACTCAAGCTCGATTGATTGTGTCTGGACTGAAGGGAGGTCTGTGGGTGGGATCCCAGCAGATGATTGACAAGGTAATGAAGCTTGTAATCATGTGTGGGGCTTAATGGGTGTGTCACGCTGATACATGACTAAGTAGGGCTTAAACAGAACCACGGTTTTCTAGTTTGGAACACTTTTACATGGAAAAACTTCCAGCGTGAAGTATAGGCAGAAGGAGCGTGTGAGACCCCGTTAATGCACTCTCTTCAAGGTTGAAGTACTGTATATCCCTCAGCCTTTGAGCTGCGCCGCTTAATCATTCAAACACTTACCTCTGCACTTACGACACCAATAAATGCTGAAAGCTGGAGACAGGAAGGGGTTTTAAAAATAGACTTCAGTCAAACCAGAGTAAATCTGTTATGAGGAGGTTTCAGATTATAGTAAAATACCATGGAAATTACACCCTTACATTGTGAATAGCCCCGTAAATGTTTGGCAAATGCATTTGATGTGCTATGACAGGAACAAGTAAGCCTCTTTCTAAGTGTGCTACAGTCATTACCCTTATAGTTTGATTATATAAAATTTTCTCGAGTGTAATCAAACTGAAATGGTGTGCGTACACACACAGGTTTGTTTTTATGGTTTATGGGGACTCTCCATAGGCGTAATGGTTTTTATACTGTACAAACCGTATTTTTTATTGCCCTACACCAACCCTACCCCTAAACCTACCCCTCACAGGAAACTTTCTGCAGTTTTAGATTTTCAAAAAAACTCATTCTGAATTATTTATAAGCCTTTTGAATTACGGGGACACTGAAAATGTCCTCATAAATCACCTTCTCGTTGTAATACCTATGTCATACCCATGTTATTATACAAATTTGTGTCCTAATAAACCACATAAACATGCGTGCGCGCAACACTTCCACACATGTTGAAATATTTAAAAATGTGTATTGGGGTCTCTATGCCACTTTAAGTCAAAATGAAATAAAAATAGAATAATAATTACCATAATACCTGTCCTTGGTTTTATTGTGAATTTTCGTTGTTGCTTATTCCAGCAAAAAAAAAAAAATTCCATGGCAAACTTTAATCACAATATAAGAACTTTCTCCCATTCTGAAATGACGTGCACTTCTGTGCTGACATTATCAGTCCCAACTTTTTCAACTCTTTGATATAGAAATCCTTTTTCATGATTGAATCAACTTCTGATGGACAAAATAAATTCCCACCCTGCTTTTCTTTCATTTAAAATTTAGCTTCACTCAAAAATTCAATAATTTAAATAAGAAAATAGGATTGGAAATGCAATTTCTTGATAACTTAAATGTCACATGGGGACAGGAAGAAGTCTAAAGAATGCAAATCAGTCAAACCAAAGTAAATATCTTCTAAGGAAGCTTTAAGGTCAGTTCACGACAGACGGAGATCAACGCCGACAATCACCAGAGTACAGTACGTTCCTTCATAGACATTCCAAGACTCAATAAATCATGCCGTGAAACCAAATGCCGACCAACGGCAACAAACGGCGACAGAGGTAACACACTCATCTGACCAAACCCGACAAACATGTCTGTTATCGTTATTCAGTGCCGTGTGACTTTGCCTTAAGATAGTAAAATACTGTGGAAATGATGCCCTCATGAACAGCCAAGCAAATGTTTTGCCAAATGTATTAGATGTGCCATGAAAAAATATAACTTTTTTTTTGTTACAAGCTACTAAACGGCCAAAGTACCCACCTAGCCCACCTAAAATGGCACTTTAATAGCTTTCTGGGTTGTATTAAGCGAAAACATTGAGCTGACCAGTGACAGTTTGGTCCTGTTTTACTAATCAACCCATAAAACCCAAAGAGCACTCCATAAAATGAGACAGTTTTCTTATCTTTAGGCTGAAAGGCTTCCTTCTGGAGTCCTGAGGTAATTTAAAGCTTTGGCCATTATGGAAAAGTTCTCGAGTTTAAGACTCCTCCTCCTCTCCTCACCCTATGCTGGCCCAGCAACCCCTGCACTACCTACACAGAGGACACAAGCCAAGCATGACTCCATAATGATGGTTTAAAGACTCTGACGCTCATTAAGACGCTATGCTTGACGAGCAGAAGGGACCCTCTAGCCGTTAAACGATTAATAGACCAACTGCCGTCAGGATAGCCATTATCAGTGGCAAAGATGTCTTTGCGCAGCATGAGGTTGGACTGATGGGTCAGAACGAATGAAATGGGTGTCAAGTGGCACCAATTAGACGTCACTTTTCCATACCTTTAATAGAATTCTCTATAACGCTTGAAGTGTATCAATGAAAATTAACATTATAGTAACCATTTCATTACACTTAAAAAATAAAGGTGCTTCAAAAGATTCTTCAAGCGATGCCATAGAAGAACCATTTTTGGTTCCACAAAGAACCATTCAGTCAAAGGTACTTTAAAGAACCATTTCTTTCTTACCTTTTTGTAATCTGAAGAACCTTCTTTCACCACAAAGAACCTTTTGTGAAACAGAAAGGTTCTTCAGATGTTAAAGGTTCTTTATGGAACCATTTAGACAAAAAGGTTCTTCTATGGCATCGTGAAGCACCTTTATTTTTAAGAGTGTAGTTGGTTATGTACGAACACAACATAATTCCAAATGAATGTCATCATGAATTTCACATTCAAATGGAGGCTCTGAAATAATTTTTGCTGCTGATTGTTGTTCTGTATGTTTCAAAAAACATCTTTCATTAATTTTATTTTAACATAATTTTCATACAATAATGACATCATGTTTCAAATCTGTATGACTTTGTATCTTCTGCAAATCACACATTGTTTAGAAGATATTTTTAAAAATATTTTAAAACTCTACAATGTTTTTCCTTTCTCTGTATTGGAGACACATTGTTACTTGTGTTATTTAAGGAAATGTCTGATACATTCTGATTTATAACGTCACACACCTGGCTTTAGAATGAATGGCTGTACTCTGGCTAGCTGGATGGACTTATTTATGGTCAGTGTGATCAGCTGTAATGGACAGCAGTAAAACAACAGGTCCATTTTCATTTGCTGGAATCTTTTCCAGCTGGAACTGTCAACAAAGAACCATTCTAATCTTATAAGAAGTCAAGCCACATTAGGAAATAAGGGCTTTAATGGACTTGGTTTCAGACTTTTTCTTTTAACGAGAACAATATGACATGCCCATAAATGAAACTCAATGTTCTATTGTTGTGTAATGAGAGAATAGAGAGGGCAGCACGTAGAGATGCTCAAGATTAATAGTCTCCATTGAACTGACCTCCATTGATTTACGATTGTCTTAATTAGGTCAGGTATGCCATGAGGGTATTAAAACCTCTCACCTTTTTTACAATGTACAATGATACAAATTTACAACTCCCAACCGCAAAACATTATGCAATCCTAATTGTGATTCCATGCTGTGAACTTCAAAACGTATTGACCGACTGCAACTAAACACATTGCACCAAGGAATGTTTGTTACAACATAAGTGACCCCCCCCCCGCCGCTGCCGCCAGAAGCTCAATACCTTTTTTATAAAAGGAGAAAAAAAACAGCTGACAGAGATGATAAAGATCAGAGTCTGACATCTTACCTTCTGCAAACTTAAGATCAATCACTGATACCCGTTTTCACTGCTCCAGTTAAAAATAAGGAACCTTGTCATTAGTAATTCTGCTAAATAGCCCTTCAGCATTGACAAAGACTTATTCAATATGTTTATCTTTCCTTGATTGCTTTACTAGTCAATATTTCGAGCTATTATGTGCAAGATAAGGATTCAGGTAAGTCAATGCTTTTGCATTTGACCCTCTGTAATAAACCAAACTATGAACACAAACTGCTTTATGTGTCAGTGTTCTACATTAACTGGTTCACTGCACTCTTAAAAATAAAGGTGCTTCACGATGCCATAGAAGAACCTTTTTGTCTAAATGGTTCCATAAAGAAACTTTAACATCTGAAGAACCTTCCTGTTTTACAAAAGGTTCTTTGGGGCGAAAGAAGGTTCTTCAGATTATAAAAAGGTAAGAAAGAGATGGTTCTTTAAAGAACCTTTGACTGAATGGTTCTTTGTGGAACCAAAAATGGTTCTTCTATGGCATCGCTTGAAGAACCTTTTGAAGCACCTTTATTTTTAAGAGTGTGGTACAAGGATAAACCATGATTAGTGTTTGGAATCTGAGTTAACAGGCTGTAGTTATTGCATCAGAGTAAGCTGGTTTATTTGAGAAATGCAGAAAGATTTCTATGCTAGTTTTGACATGAATTCAAATAGTTTCTTCAAACATGTTGCATGAGAAAAGCACAATCTATTGTTATGCACTTCACATTTAATGGATCTTAAAATGTATACTTCTGATGACAGAAAACAAATAAACTTCATGTAACTGACTACAGCACACCACTTCATCAAATCAAGATTGCAATACTGCATCCGGAAAGTCAAGAAAAGTGAAGCATGTCCATTCTACCATTTAAAGGTATATGGTCAGTATAAATTTTTTTTAAAGAAATTGATACTTTTATTCAGCTAAGGTGATCAAAAAGACATTTATGTTGTCAAATGAATGCATTTTTTAAAACCTTCTATTCGTTGAAGAATCTTCAAAAAATATTTTCATGAAGGATCATGTGACACTGAAGACTGGAGTAAGGCTGCAGAAATTTCAGCATTGCCAAAACAGGAAGAAATTACATTTTAAAATACATAAAAACAGAAACCATTTTTTAAAAATTTTAATAATATTTCGAAATATAGCTTTTTTTAAAACTGTATTTTTGATCAAATAAATGCAGCCTTTATTAAATGTCTTACTGACCCAAAACTCTTGAATGGTAGTGTAGACCTGATTTTAGTCCTGTACAATTACATGTAAAAATGACTGTTAGCATAATTCACTGTATTCATATACTACCTTCATGGCAGCAACATTCTTCCAAATTCACAGACTGCAAACAATTCCAGTTACTCATGTTGTTCCTCATCAATACTGAGAATATACAATAAAGTAGCACGACAACATCTCTGCCAGAGGTGTACCCAGAGAATAAAAATTAATGTGCATTATATTTTGAATCACTGGGAGAGAGAAACCTTGTTTTATGTTTCTCATATTACGGGTAACAGAAAGTCGGCCTGTTTGATTTATGATACCAGTGTTTAAAAGTCATATCAATTTGAAATCCTACTTGACTCCATTTAATGAGTGCTGCGTTGTATATCTCTGTATGCGCGTATCAGCAACATCATTAAATGCATTCTCTCAAGCGATGCAACTGCTGACATTTCCCATAGTCATAATAAACCAAAACAAAAGAGCCTGTGGATGCACAGAAGATGGAAAAGCCCTCATGCTGGTGGCTTATACAATTCTTTGTAAACACCAGCAAAAAGGAGCTCATTAAACATAAAACTCGGGGTCGGATTGCTACTGTTACAGGTAGAGAACAAATGAACCACTCAGTTTTTCCTCTTCCTTTGTTGTTAATAATGTGCAAGACCTTTATGGACAAAGAGGCTGGTTTTGGCATGGAAGGTGGCCAGGATAGTGAGATCAGCTCACAAGCATGGACAATAATGCCACCAGAAGGGGCAATGAACATGGCTGAGGCTCAGCGAGCCATTGGTGGGGGCAAAAAAAGTCCATGGCTTAGTCCAGGCAAGGTCAACACAGACACAAGCACAACAGTGACAGAGAAGCTCCGAAGACGTTCACTGCATAGATGGGCTGCACAGGGAGATGTCCACGTCCAGTTGGAGGGGGCTCGCAACACTGATCTGCAATGAGATGAAGGGGAGAGGGAACGGGAAGGAAGAGGGAAAGACATGCAGTAGGTGTGTGGAACCAGCACAGGATGGTTACGCACACAGTAGGTCACGCGAGAGAATGAAAAGCGGTTTATTCACAACACCATAGCAGTGGGTTAGTAGAATAGATGATTACAAGAGTGCAAATGAGATAAACAGATTATTTGGGTGCAGGTCAGGAAATAACCAGGGGTGAATGTGACAATAATGTTGACATACAAGCGAAGAGTGAGTGAGCAGTCCAAACCAGTGTCCGTTGTAAAGGTTTGTTTGATTGAAAAGATCGCAGGGCGTTTATAGGCACACAGAAAGGGAAGTTTAGTGGCAGCTCATTGCAAAACAAAAAGCCCAGCGATTTGCGATGTGGCCCAGAATGCGTTGCATAATTCATTAGGTGGGAATTGGAGAGCAGGATTGTTTAGAGTGAAACAACGAGACGAAGCACAATAGAATTATAAATAAGAGCGTGGGCCAGTGGGGATGAAGGGGTGCAGGTGGAGAGGGAGAGAAAAAGGAAAGGATGAGGAGGAGTTGGGAGAGAATATACAAATGACACTGAATTAACAAGGTAAATCCAAGCTGCTGAGAAGCAGTGCTGTCAACACACACACACTCTCTGATGTATACCTATGCATGCACTGACACTGCCTCTAGGAATATTTCATACATAATTGGACAAGTCCAGGCAAAATTTAAATATCATCTGTCAATATCATGGCATTTTTCAGGACAGGCATTTTGTCCCAACAGCAGACTGCAAGGCATATTTTGTTTATCATGTACTAAAAAGATAAAAAGAAATAAAATGACTGACTTGTTCTATCTATCTAACTATCCATCCATCCATCCATCCATCTTTTTCTAGCAGTATATGGTGGCATTGTGAGGACATTGTCCTCACCACTTTATGAAATAGCTTGCAGCTATACTTTTGTGTTCATCAGTTGCATCCCCTAATATAAATCCACTCACGGACAGCTGCAATTTTGCTTGCTTCATTAAAACAAACATTGTTATTAGAGAAGATATGAACCTGGGACCCCATACACTCAAAGCAAAATGCTTATATCGACACCATTACACATTTATCCTCTATTCCAAACATCTATCAAATAAATGAAAAAAATTATAATAATACAGGGATCAACAGTGGCAGGAAGTTAGAAAATATCAACGTACTGTACAAAAAAATTTTTGAAAAGTTTTTCCAGCATTTTTGCATATATTTAAAGCACCAGAACCATTAAACCACAATCACAATACCTTGACCAGAACTTTTAAAATGGTCTTTCACATATTTCAAATAAATTTTCCTACCAGGTGGGAAAACGTGCTCTTTTGTTTACAGTAGATCATGTGGCTCACATGGTTATAATTTAGGCATTATTTTAAGCGTACAAAAAAAGAAAATGTAATGTTTTTAGCTGAATAATTATCTCCTTTCTGAGATCCCGGCCACAAAGGAACAGAGGTATTGAGAGTTGACAAGTAATCGATATACCTCTTTAAAATGTTTTACCCTTATATTCGCATTAGAAAATAGTAGTTCTGTCTGTTTCTTTTGGCTGGTTGATCACCTTCATCAGCTATCAACACTATTACCCTTCATCCTTGGACCATTCAGAGACAACCCATTGGCTACATAGTGCTTCTGATTGATTCTTGAATGTTTGTGATTTCATGGTGACCACAGGTCTGTTGGGACCAAGTAAGCCAAATATTAAAATCCTTTTCATAAAAGAGATCCAACTGCAAAATGCACATGGTCAATCAGCCAATCACAGTGACATGGAGGCACTAACTGCTAGACAGTTAGACATATAAGCATAATTGGTTTATTTTTGTAGTGGCAATTTCTTTCTCGTCCATTTTTTCCTACGGGAGATAGTGCTTCCTCTGACAAATCGCTTATGATTAGGACAGAGAAACAGTTACAGTGGGTTTCTTTGTACGTCTGATTGTGAATGTGGGATACACAAGCTCTATCAAGCGTGGGTGGGTGGCAAGTGTGCTGAACTGTAGCAGGGCATATAATTATAATAGGAGACATATCATTTCAGCTATAGATATTGTGAGTGGGTGCTGAAGTGCTGTAGGTAATCGGACTCAATTTGTCATATGGAAAAGAGTACTGTGCGTATTTTGTGGAAGTGCATGTACCTGTGATGTCAGGTTTCTGAGGCATGGAGAACTTTACAAAGGTGGGTTCAGACAGGCCTTTGACATTGCGTGCGGTGATTTCCACCTCATACTGTGTATTCCACTGGAGCGGTTGCAACAACACGAAATCATTCACCCCTGGAACCAGTTTAGTCATCCACTGTTCTTCTTTATCCTGCAAAAGCCACAAGTGTTTCATAAAATTTGCACAAGCATATGAGTATATGATATTAATATTTGCTTTAGGGCACATTTTTTCTCACTGTACTTATAAATAAATAAGACAACTTGTTATTGCATGTGAATGTTCAGGTGCTTAAATAGTGGCTACATTCTATTCTGTGTGACAATTTTGAAGGATATGGCTGAAAAAAGTGCAAGTATTGACTGACTATACTTTGGGTATAATATATATATATATATATATATACACACACACACAGTCATGGTCAGAATTATTGGCACCCTTGGTAAATATGATAAAAGAAGGCTGTGAAAATAAATCTGCATTGTTAATCATTTTGATCTTTTATTAAAAAAATTCACATAAATCTAACCTTTTATTGGAGCATAAGAATTTAAAATGGGGGGAAATATCATTAGGACAAATGTTTTTCTCTAATACACATTTGACACAATTAATGGCATTCAATGCTTTTTGAAACCTCCATTTGGCATAATAACAGCTCTAAGTTTTCTCCTATAATGCCTGCTGAGGTTAGAGAGCACCTGACAAGAGATCAGAGACAATTCCTTCATCCAGAATCTCTCCAGATTCCCAGCTCCATGATGGTGTTTCTCCTCTTCAGTTCACCACACTCACTTTCTATAGGGTTCAGGTCAGGGAACTGGAATGGCCATAGCAGAAGTTTGGTTTTGTGCCCAGTGACCCATTTTTGTGTTGTTTTTAAGGTTTGTTTTTGGATTATTGTCCGCTTGGAAGATCCAAACATGGCCCATTAGAAGATTTCTAACAGAGTCAGTCACTTTTTGATTTTTTATCTGTTGGTATTTGATAGAATCAAAGATGCCATGTATCTAAACAAGATGTCCAGGACCTCCAGCAGAAATATAGGCCCACAACATTAAAAATACAGCAGTATATTTCATTGTACACATGGGGTACTTTTTATCCCTGTGTGCACCAAACCCATCTTGAGTGTTTGTTGCTAAAAAGCAATTTTTTTTAGTTACATCTGACCGTAGAAGCCAGTCCCATTTGAAGCTCCAGTCGTGTCTGACAACAGAATATGCTGGGGATTGTTTTTGGATGAGAGCATTTTCTTTTCTTGTATTTTTCTTGAAACCCTCCCAAACAACATGTGGTGTAGGTGCTGTTAAATTTTATTTTATTTTTTTAAAGGTTTTCTGACGCTGAGACTCAAATATTTTCTGCAATTCTCCAACTGTGGTCCTTGGAGAGTCTTTAACCACTCAAACTCTCCTCCTCACCATGCATTAGGACGATACAGACACACGTCCTCTTCCAGGCAGATTTGTAACATTTTCTGTTGATTGGAAATTCTTAATTATTGCCCTGATGGTGGAAATATGAATTTTCACTGCTCTAGCTCTTTTCTTAAAGCCACTTCACTAATTTGTGAAGCTCAATTATCTTTTGCTGCACATCAGAAATATATTCTTTGGTTTTTCTCATTGTGATGGATGATTAAGGGAATTTGGCCTTTGTTTTCCCTCCTATTTATATTCCTGTGAAACAGGAAGCCATGGCTGGATAATTTCATGTTCATAATTCCTCCAAAATGATAAACAATGCAGATTTATTTTCACAGCCTTCTTTGATCATATTTACCAAGGGTGCCAATAATTCTGACCACAACTGTATATATATATATATATATATATATAGATAGATAGATTATATATTTATAAGTATGGTTATACCTACAGAATACTACTTGCGCTCTCTCTCTCATTCAAATATATATATATATATATACTGTACATACACATACATACATAAATAAATAAATATACATTCCAGTCAATCTCAGTCAAACTCCAGTTGGGTTATTTTGATTAGGTAAAAAATAACTAAAACATACAGCTAACTAACACAATAAAACACATTCAATTGAAATGTTGTGCACCATAATGCGATTAATCGCAGACAATCATGTGATTAATTGCGATTAAAAATTTGAATCGTTGCCCAGCACTATATATACACAGTATATGGTTATATCCACAGAATAAAGCCAATACTTGCGCGCATCTCTGCCTCTCTCTAAAATATTAAATTATGGTTATACTCACATTATAAAGCCAATACTTGCTCTTTCTCAACCGAATTGTCAAATTGTCACACAAAGAGAGTGAATAACAGAATTGCAGATGAAAGTGGCCTGAGAGGCCATCTGCTCCTTTTTCCTTGCAGCAACAGATAAAAAAAATAGATTATTTTCTCTAATCCTCAAACTTTTCCACACACTTAAACAGCTGAAACACTCTAACGCATCCATTATTCTCTTTGTGTCCCTGCCTGGAGAGCTTCTGAGCATGAGTGTGTGTAATATAAATAATGTGTGTGTGCTTGTGTGTGCCGGCTGTTCTGCTGGCTAAAATTTTGAAACTAAGCCCACACAAGCTGCCTTCAAAAAGTCATTGCTTTTATATTTTGACATTTTCAAAACGCCTCAGCTCTTTAAAGGCTAAATGGTTGAAGTCTTTAGGCGAGCTGTCTCCCCAGGCTGTGACATCTCCATTTCCCCAGTTCTCACCTCCACATGCACAGGCGATCAGAGACAGAGCAAATGAGAGAGAGCGATATAAAAAGAGAAAATAAGGGAAGAGTACAAATAAGAGAAGGAAAAGATGCCAGCGGACCCTATTAATGTTGAGGAGGAAGCGAGGCATCACCAAACACAGTGAGACAGACAGAGATGAAGCAAATGAGGAGACGCTGAGGCTCAAAAGTGGAAAAACAAACAGAAGGATTGTGTGAGAGAGAGAGAATGCTGTGGTGAACGTGTAAACATGCTAGTGTGGTAACACTTGATAACCTCATGACCTGTAAACAAACTTTTTGATTGTGAAACAATGGCGACAATACACAAGGAACAAAAAATGCAGTGTCACATAAGGCTTTTTAAGAGTTCTGACACTTTATGGTCTCAGCGCTTGCTCCAAGTTAGATCTACTCTAAGTGTTTTGTCTAATTTGATGCCATTAACAAATATTGGCTGCAAAAAGTCATGCGATATTCAAGGCTTTGGCAAAAGGGTCTTTTTCGGGATAGTTTGCTGTTGTTTAAACTTCTGCAGTTAGAATCTATGTGACTGCCCTACCAGATAATAATATTACCAGCATAATAATAAAAGTGTTCTTACGTGTACACAGATGCTTTTCATATACTTTTGGATATAAATATATTTGTTTTTACCCTTATCCTAACACAACCTTTCCTGTACAGCCATTTGTGCATTTTAGCTTATTGAACTCAACTCAGATCGAGATACAATGCACATCAATGGATATTTTTGTTGTTCTAACTTAAGTAAGAGTGATTGTAGGTATTAAATATAAAATAAAATAAAGAAAAAATAAAGAAAACAAAAAGTGCTTAAAATTTAATTTTTGTTATTTTCACCTTTATTACAATAGGATAGATCAGAACTGACAGGAAGCAAAGTGGGAGAGAGATGGGGGGGGGGGGGGGTCTTGCGG